CCGCTGCCTCTCAGCCGCCTCCTAAGAAGGCGACCGCCTCCCACGCCCTCTCGCTGCGGAGCATGGCCTCCACCATGCTCCGCAGTGAGAGGGATCCGCATCCCAGCGCTGCAAGCTCATTGGTGTCGCAAGGCCGGGCACTCCAATAAGGTGTGCTAGATCGAGATCGAGCATTCTGAAGCGTGCTTCGATCATCCTGTCAAGTGCAACAAATATATTCAAGTTGCTGGTGTCTACAAACTTGAATGCGACTGTGGGCTCTCCTACATCGGGCAAACAAAGAGGAGTATAGGGACTCGGGTTAAAGAACATATCGCAGATATGAAACATAGGCGCGAAAATAAGTCTGCAGTGTGTGAACATGCATTAGGGGGACCAAACCATTACATTAGATGTGATAAACCACATATCCTTGCAATTGAACAACGATTCATTCCTAGAATGATACGCGAAGCTATTGAGATTAAAAAATATCGTGGTATCGTGTGAGGAGGGTCGTTGCGTTCCCTAAAATATGGTTGAGCGAAGCGATGGCTGGTTCATGCGTCATGCTCGTGAACGGGTGCTGCTAGCGGAGATGAGTCTGCCCTAACTACTTTGATATTTAAGATGTAAATGTTTAATTACACCTATTATAAATAACTCTATTTGTATTTATACTGTGTGACAAAGCAATAAAAATTCAGGTGAACAATTAATGTATAATTTCACATTATGTAATGAAAGGTGACTTCATAAATCATCTCTGAAGTCAGTTTTCAACTTGACGACTCTGTAAATGATAAAACAGGGAGAAAAAAACAGCCCTTGCTGAGTTTCTTGCCGGTTCTTCTCAGTACAAGGTCTCCCGCCGTAGATTTATAAACCGATTGGCGTAGCTTCTACTCATGCATATGTGCTTGTAACAGCCTGAACTGAATAAATGATTATGATTATCCAAATTTCAATAGGGAAGATAGTTGGTATATACCACCAGCTTGATAAATTCATACATAGACAATAAAGTTTTAAAAATATTCCAATGAAATGAAATGAATAAAATGAAAAAAAAAGTCTGTCGAAGGGAGCTCGGCAAAGTAAATAAAAAATCATTATTCTGACGATGTAGACCTGAAAAGGCTGCGAAACGTCGATAAAAAAATTAATTTATTACTTTATTTAGATTATGCCAAGTGTGTTATGCCAAATGAATTTCGGAGCAACAAGACTCTTCTAACATCTTAGAAAAAAGTAAAATTGTTCTTAATAGATATTTAAATTAAGGTACATACATACTAATACGATAAATATGAAAGTATGTCTGTCTCTCAGTCTGTTGCCTGCTTACACTTAAGCTACTGAACCGATTTAGATGAAATTTTGGTATAGAGATAGTTAAGTCCCGTTTTTATTCTAGAAATTATCCTTTTGATTGTCAATTTTTTAAATGAAGATTTATTATTTCGACAGTTTGTATGGTTTAAAGCTAGTTTTACTTAAATCGAGATTAAGCAAATTTGCTGAAAGTGGACCATCACTACATAGTATAAAACAAAGTCGCTTTCTCTGTCCCTATGTCCCTTTGTATGCTTAAATCTTTGAAACTACGCAACAGATTTTAATGCGGTTTTTTTTAATAGATAGAGTGATTCAAGAGGAAGGTTTATATGTATATTACATGCATAATATAGTAGAGAAACACTGATAATTTTAGAGGTTTTTAATGTAAGGTCGTAAATAAACACATTTTTGCGCTTACATTGCAAACGCTGCCTGGCTGAACCCCACGAGATAGATCAAAATAATGTACTACAGTATTGTATACCTTAAAAATGTCTACAAAAAAGTCCGCGATGGTATATGTCTATCTCTTAAGGATAACCCACAATAACCAATTTTTATCCTATACTTTTTACGAGAAATAATAGATTATTTACGAAGCGATTTTAAGCAATATAACATTCATCCTTATCCAATTAAGTACCTTAAATACATTTTGCATTTAATATAGAACAATTTGGCCCTTTAACGCATATAATTTAAATGAATATTTTCGAAGATATTACAAATTTAAAATTCAGGGACATAGCGGTTCCGACGCTACCGGACTTGGCGGGCGCGTGCCTATTGTGATTGGGTATTAGAAGAATGTCATTGTGTATAATACAAGCCTGAGAACAAAAACTATAGTCTACACTACAGCTTTACACCGAAGCGAAGCGAGGGCAGGCCACTAGTAGTATATAAACTAAAGACAGATTTTTTAAGCGCTTGTTTTTTTTAAATTTAGAAAAAAAAATAGGTCAGTAAAATAATTATTTAGATGTATAAATATTATGCATGCCATTTACTTCGTGAGAAAACTAATGAGAACTATTTTTGACTGTCCACCCGGATAGCGGAAGATGCGGGTTCGAATCCCGTCTGAATCCTGGACAGAGTGGATTTGTTCTATTATAATTTTCATCAGATCAAAAAGTATCTCTCAAATAGTGCCAAATAGTATCTAAAAAATGCGTTGGTTATATATTTCCACGCTTTGTTCAGTTAGAGAGTATACGAGAGTATACATGCAATTTACATTTCAAAAATTGTTCCCGAAAATAAACCCGTTTTTCTTTAGATCTTCTTTTTATATTATTTTATGCTATACGGGTACAGTTAATTTGATTTTTGTTACAGTACAAAAAGGATTTTGGCAGGCTTAAAAAGATTTATCATTTCACTTTATTGCTTAATGGGTTTTACTAAGACACTCCTAATTCTCTTTATCAATCTGTCTCTTTACTGAGTACTCAGGCTATTAATATACCTTTAATGTTGGCAGTGGGCTGGTCACATTAGCCGCAGAACTGACGGCCGATGGAGCCGTAAAGTTCTTGAGTGGAGACCACGACTCGGTAAACGTAGTGTGGTACGCCCTGAGACAAGATGGGATGATGACGTTCGTAGGCTGGCTGGAGTGGGCTGGATGAGAGTGGCAGAAAATCGGGAGCAGTGGCGTGCATTAAGAGAGACCTATGTCCAGCAGTGGACGAGCATGGGTCGATGTTGATGATGATGATGTGTTGTGTATCGACTGATACAGAACATATAAAAGGTATTATAATTGCCTGAATCCAATGAATATAAAAGGGGGTCATAATAGTGAATGAAAAACTTATTATTCTACAAAGACACAGTTCAATGAACTAGAAATAAATATGTGTCGTAAAAAATCACTGATTTCTAGATTTCGGAACAACAGCGCCATGAACTTAAACAAACTCAAGCCGGGCAAGTTGCCAAAGAAACGATCGCCCCAAACGGAAAACTGGCGTTTACATAATGCGTACAAACGTATGAGTTTAGTGGCGTTTAGTCCATGTGCAAAACTGAAATTGCTTATTCGATTCAGAATTTTCACATCGGTACAAATTTATTTGCGTAGTATAGATTGAGTATTTGATTAAGATACTTACGTATAACTTTCCTTTAATAAACAAAAAGAATTTTCGTATAATCCCTACTCACAAATGCGAGTGAATAGTGAGAATATGACCAGTGGTAGGGGTATCGAACGCAATAAAAGACGACGTCAGAGGGTAGACCAATATGTCTGCCAATAACATCTACCGCCAATTACTTCAGTTACTCCGTGATCATGGCGCTTGCAACAGTGCCGAAATATCATAAACTCATAAAAACAAGGTACGTGGTAACAATCCCGTTAATAGTTATAATAACAAAAATGTTCAGTCGAACACAGAACCTCCTCCTTTTTTGTAGTCGGTTAAAAAACAAAATACGCGACAAGACGAATCAAACGAGCCCAAGCTTAATGGGGATGTGTCGTTTCATTATGGAGTTCTTATGGCCACCTACTAACTCCATCATCAGACCCTGGATACCATCTAAAGAAAAAGTGCTCGTCAAGAAAAACATACGAGCCCAAACTTGATGGTGTTATGTTGTTTCATAACGGAGTTCCTATGGCCACCTTTAGCTCCATCATCAGAACAGTTACATGGTTCCATATTAATGCATTGGCACCAGACTTACATAAGTATGCCAAATGACAATGACAGATTCTGACCCACCATATACAATAATATTAAATTTATGAAAAAATATATACGACTTTTTTTGTCGTACCAATTTAAATATTACTTTGTAAAACCGGAGGATACGAAATAAATATTAAAATAATTTGTAGCTACTGTTTCCGTTAGGAGAAGAACGAAAACATGACATATGCGTTTTGTTTCACGACAAACAATAAAATGTCAGTCAAGTTTTCGAAAAATATCGTTCTCTTTTTTAAAATAATAATAATTTAAAAAATAAGCATTTCGGTTATAAATATAATTAATTTATATTTATAAATAAGTTTAACAATTATAGTACCTTTTATTTTTTATGCGCATACACATGATTAAGTAGTGGGTACCTATGTGAAACTAAACGTTATTTTGGATATCCTTTTGTTTGACATTTCCGTCAAACAAAAGGATTTGGACGATATTGTCGTTTGTGATTTGGAACCATGTTGAGATCTTAGATTAAAACAAAAAGGGTAGATACGGTACGCTCATACTTGCATCGAACAAAAACTGATCCCACTTTACTACATATGCAACACTCACACATGGGTAGTTCTCTTATTTCGAGTAAATCGCGGCAAAATTAGAGAAACTTTTAAATGTTGAAAAATTCATCATAAAATCATTATAAAGCTATAATTATGTATCGTGACGTAATTATACGTAATTGCACCCATAAATTTGGAAGTTATAAGCTTCTGAAATTTAAATTCATGAAGGTAATGATTTCTTGTCTGCTGGTAAGGATTGCTGGTTATAAGGTAATGAAATAAAGTTTTCTGGTAATGATATAATTTTAGTGTGATACCTAAAACCAGTATTAAATTGATATAAAATGCTTAATTATGTATAAATCAACATTTATTATCATTGAAGAGAAAACAAATAACATTTTTAATTGACAATTCTTTAATAAGTAAATTTTCTTACTCTTAGTAGGAACTTAATCATGTCTTTGGTTTCTAATCTTTACTTTCATATAAAATTTCTGTTTCTGAAAATAAAAAAAGCATAAAATACTTTCATAAAACTTGTCATTTTTTTTAAATTAAAACCCGCTAACTAATTATTAGTTTAATATTTATAGTCTCCGTCGTCGGCAGCTTTTGCGTCTAACTTAAAACAAAGATAACAAAAATATTTCTTTCTTCTAAAAACCATATTATCGAAATTAAAATTCAGTAAAAAAATCGAACGTCAACGGTTGTTTTGACTATTCTGTTAGCACTATCAATCAAGTGGGATAGTGCCAACATAATAGTCAAAATAAACGTTAGATACCTATGACGCATAGGCATCGATGTAAATACACAATCAAAATATTTTAAACTCGTCGTCATCGCTACTTTCATATTCTCTTATTCCAATTTCATTTTCCTTGTCTTCTACACTTTTTATTTTATAAGTTTCTTTTAAAGAATTCCCAGTACTACTTGACTGTCCTTCATTCGTTATAAATTCCGTAAATGCGTTAAAAAAGTTCTTCGTAGCACAAGTTTTTATAGCCTGGTTTGGTTTGTAAAACGGAGTGTTTGTCCAATCTAAACGAACATCAGAAAGTATCGTTACTTTCGGAGATTTTGTAATTTTTGCCAGGGGGTCTATATGTTTTGAAGTTAATTTCCCTTCTAAATTCTCGTTACTCCCTATTACATTTTCAGCTAGTATTCTTTCAGATGAGTTTTCTATAAGTTCTGGAGTGGTATTGGAGTCAAGAAATTCTTGCAAGATTTGATCTTGTTGCTGATTTATATAATTGACATCTTTTAAGATGTCCATATAGCCTAAATGATATCCGTGAGTACATATGCAGCCATTCGGACAAAAAAAACAACTTAGTTTTCTAAAAGTCATGCTTAAGCTAGATGAAGACCACAGTACTTGGTGCACTTGCATTGTGCCTTTGAACATTTTAACAGTTTTCGGTATTTTTTTGTCCTCGATATCTTCATATGTGATCATACGCAACTCCACGTTTTTAATTTTTAGCTTTAGGATGTTCCAAAAGTCTTGTAAGGTTCCAAGGTCGTTCCCAAAACGGACAGTACTGTCAGCTGTTCGCTTAATGACGGCGCCAATACCGTCGGGAGCACCTTTACCATGCCCACTCTCCAAATAATTCCAAGAGACTGCTTTTAATTCTGGAAACTGTTGCTGGAGCTGACTGATGATATAAAATATTTTTCGGTTGCGGTACTGACTCGATGGGCTGTCAGTTAAAAAATGTACTGTATCAATATGAGTAACATCTTTGACATGTTCTAATATTGGGATCACATGGGCCCATATAGCTTCGGCGTCATGTCTACAGCAATCACTAACTGTGCACATACTGTATGTTTTTAACAATCCCGTTTCAGGTTCAATAAGGTAAGATACTGAAGTATGTAGAGTAATTTGTTCTGGACTACTACCAAAATGTCGACTTTGAACTTCTTCATGAAACTTAGTGTTGTAGTTTTCTGAAAAGTCCATATGAATGAGTACTTCTTTAGGAGTCAAGGACTTTTTAAGTGCGTCAATATTTTTATACTGTACGATAACATTTAGAGAATGTTTCAAATAGCGTGGCAATGAATCTTCAAGTTTTTTAATCAAATTACGGGGCAGATCTTGCAGTTGCAACTTTGTTGTTTTCTTTGAATATTTATCTTCTCCTTTAACATTATATTTAACAATTTGTGTACCCCATTCGTGATATTTAATGTATTTATTATTTTCGAATTCCAAATAATTAATTACTCTTTTAGAACATGTCTCACATCTTCTGCTCAAACAATTTTCGCTGCGAATATCACAACAAAGGCTCTCAAGTAATAGAGAACCGTTTGTTTCTCTTATTATTTTGTGTTTTTGGAGCGATTTAATCAAAAGATCCATATTGATATGTACTATGCACGAACAAGTATTTCTGTTGGATTCTTTTGGATAAACGATCCAAAATGGTCGAATTCTGCAAAACGTTGAATATCCAAGAGCATAACTATGAGTAGCCAAAAATTTTTTATGGAGATTAATCAACGTATCCGAAAGATAGCGTTTTTGTTTAGTTATTCTGCCCTTTTTAATGTATTCCTTTTTATCTGCCGCAAGTCTACTATTGTCATCCTCTTCAAAGAAGTCATTCACGTCTTGTTTAATATTGTTTTCTGCAATCTCAGCTTCTAATTTGCTGTTTCTTACTGTAAAAGAACTTGTAGAAAGCAATATTTTATGTTTCTTAAAATTTTCCCTGTCCTTTACTACTATATTGCTAAATTGACGCCTATCTTTCTTCTTTAAAGTTTGGAACCCTTTAGTTAATTCTTTTTTCAAAACCTCACCGAATATTAATTTCTTTTTTATTTGTTCTTTACTATTTTCATTTATATTAGAAATCAGTGAGTCCACTTTCTCTTCTGTTGACGGATTATTTTTCTGAGACCTTTTATTATCGAATCTTACTCTTTCTAGCTTTTTATTTAAGGATTTTCGTTCATTTCTTTCCCTTTCAAGTTTCTTTTTCAAAATCCCAAGTTTTTTCACATGTAAGTATCGCAATCTTCTCAGTTTTCTTTTATATTGAATACAGTCTGTGCATGCCGCTTCTAGATTTTCTTTCTTTTCTGATGAACCTTCTAGAGGGTCCAAATCTTGTGTTTGAGGATGTTCATTTCTAGCATTGACTTCTTCTGAATCGCTTGTAGGAGGAGAGTTTTCAATCAACATTTGTTCTATCTGTTTGTTTCTCTTCTTTTTTTCAGTATATTTTTTAGCATTTTCACGCCATTTTTTCCTTTGCAACCTTTGTTGCCTTGGAGTTAAGTCTTTAATGTTTTTGATTTTATTTTGTTCTTTTCGTTTCAGGTACCTTAATCTTTCTTTTTCTTTTTGTTCAGCATATTTAATAGGATCCTTCTTCAATTCTTCGTACTTTTCTTTTTTGTGGCGCCTAGCCTGAGCTAATTTTTCTTCTCGTGTTTTTTTATTTTTAATCTTCGCCATACTGCTTGCTGAAAAAGAAATGTATCTTTTTTAAGGTTTTATATATATAATGAAATATTAAATAAAATGATTTTACCCATAATCGAAACATAGAAAAAGAATGAAAATAAAAAATTAACATATTTTATTTTTCGTGAAACAAAAGTGTGAGTATATTTATTATTCATGGGCACGTTATCAATTTTCAAGCCATTGAAAGTCATTAAAAATCATTTTATCTTGATATCTTTTAGATTGTATATTTTACTCAATTCATTACAACAATTTAATTTAGTTACTAAGCAAATGAAGTCTGGCTCTTCAAAAACTTTTAAACTAATAATAATGTCTAAAATGTTATTGATTACTTGTAGTTAGCGACTTGAAATAAATGGATATCACACTTAGTAGGTCATAAGTGTAGTGCGCCAATATATTTACTATAACATATTATATTATAAATAAGATGCTTTGTCCCATTACTTAGTCCTAATAAAAATTCAACATTGAATTTAAAAATTATTACGAAATATCACCTCCTTCAATTTTATATCATTACCTTCAAATTGAAAACTGAAGGTAATTGAAGGTAATGATACTGAGGGTAATGATTTTTTTGCAATATTTGCTTTCAAATGCCTTATTTAAATATAGATATAAGTATTAACAGTTAAATAACACAACGTGTCCTTACAAGTTTCAAATGCATGATAGATTTAATGAAAAATTCATAGTACTTACCTCGCAATGCGGTTCCTGGTAAAGAATATAAACTCGTGACAAACGAAAATCCCGCTCACTTTTTTACCTATAACTATGGTAAATTGGGCGCGCGTCCTCCCTACTTGATGTTATTGGGTCGACTGAGCGACGTGAGCGCAGGGCCGAGGGGGTGCGTAATCCTGGTGTGCACAGATTAGGAACAAGAACTGTTTAAAGAACGGCTGAAGGTAATCAACTTTTTTCCGTGACAAATTTACGATATTTTTTTTTTAATACATGGAAGAGTATATTATCTATGAAATGCGACATAATTAATCGTTAGGATGTGTGTGATTTTATATATAAATCATACGTCTGTAAAACAATGCAATCTTTGAATTTTTATGTGGTTTTCACAAATATCCTTGTTTAAGACACTGAAGGTAGTGAGATTTTGACCTGAAAAATTATTGTATCTTTTCTGTCGTTTAACATATTATTTTTATATTCGGGGCATTCCTAGCTTAACGTATTTCCGTTCATATGTCTATAAAGAAATGTTTGTATTTACATGATATATTTTTTTATTAGTAAGTAAAGGCGATTTGCACGAAATCAGAGAACTACCCACATCCACCTGTTTGTAAAGATACAATCGAACGAACGAAACATCAATTGAAGTTTCAACGGCAGCGCGAACGAGACGGCGAGATCCGCGTCACTGCACTACCGACCAATCACGCGACCAGTACTCGACGTCACTACCGAATAAGATTTAAATCAAACAGCAATTTTTATGAAAAAATATATTTTATAGTACTTACGAATGAAAAGTGATGCCGTTATTTTTAGTTCTTGAGCAATTTGAGCACTTTTTAAAAACACACTTAGGCATTGTTTTATCATATAAACACAAAATATTAGCAATATTTCTTTTTGGCGTCCACATGTACGTCGTTTGCATGTCAAGTTGTGACTAAAGCGATTAGGGTCGTGGACCACAATTCACGCGGATCACTTTTGTGAGGCTAGTGCCGTATCTACCCATTTTGTTTTAATCTAAGGTTGAGATGCATAAATTGTTATTTATGTGTCGATACAATACAAAGGCATGGCGTGTATACACTATCAGCTACAATACGGACACTGTTGAATTCATGGATATCGTTACAACAGGTTTGGTTGATAATTTAATAAAACAAGATATAACGAAGTGCATTCTTATATTTAAACATTTTATTGAAACATATATATTTACTAAACTGTCCTTTTAGCTACCACCTGAAGCAGTAGTATGTCATGAATGTTACTTGCGGTTAAATGAGAATTGTCGCAATGGAAAAATGGACGCTGCAAGAGAACTCGGGAAAAAACGATAAAAAGAAAAAACGATAAAACGAAAATAATAATATAACTTTATATACGATATAAAGTTATAATTAGTGTTTCAATTTATTGAAAAATCGCAAATGTACAACCTTTGCTCTTAAGCGCTGTAAGCAAAGTAGTAAAAAGAATATACTACTAGTAGAATAGTCGCGATATACAAGACTTCACTATGGCACTATCTGTTAGCTAGGTTTTGCTAGACCTAGACGATTCTAAAAAAGGGACACATTGTTGCTTGTATGTATAAAATATGTCTCATGTATATATATTTCATATTCGTTATTATTACAATTATTAAAACTATGTAGAGAACAAGCTGAATGTTGAACCTGTAACGAATAAACTCGGAAATCCTCACAGACTGATAACAATCGAAAAACAGACGAATAGGTACCTAGAAACTACCTATTCATCAAAGTTATGAAAGCGCCTAATTAATAATTTATAGAAATTCCAATTTTCTGCTCAAAATGCAGCTCAAGTAACGTATGATAATTGTACTTTTGTTAGTATTTTATTCAATAACCACAGCTTCTAGAGAATTTACAACTTTACTATTTTGATTCCTAATATTGCAGCTATCAAATGTCATTTATCGCATTCGTGTACACCAATTTTACCGGGTGGGTTAAACCTCTATAGAACTTCTGGCATTGTCTTTTCAGCTAAATCGGATAACAAGAAGTAGTCAAAAATGGTTTACAAAATTTGAAGCTACATACAAACGGTGCAAGTTAAATGAAAGCTCGTAAATATAAAAAAAATCTTGAAAATAAAACAGGTAAATAAAAAAATAAGACAAACCGTTTTATTAAAAAAATGCAGACAAAAAATATGAAAAAAAATACTTATAACTGAAAAAATATCCTAGACCCTAGGTACCAGTCACCACACTACTCTCCTCAATAATCTAGCTAGGTCATTGATCAGAGATATAAATAAAATCGTGGGGCGTGTTACTTTTCTTTCAATAGTCAACAAATCGTTTGAATGATATTTACGTATTTATTCGTGTTACGCTACAGCCCACAATTTGATTAATTTGTCTGATCAATGACCTAGATTGACGAGAACAGTTGTGTGATTACATTAGTTTCTTCATATTTGTTATCTGTAACATTGTGAGAATTAGGAATTACTCGTAATCCGGACTAATATTATAAATGCGAAAGTAACTCTGTCTGTCTGTCTGTCTGTTACTCTTTCACGCCAAAACTACTGAACGGATTTGAATGAAATTTAGTATACAGATGGTCTAGACCCTGAGAAAGGACATAGGCTACTTTTTATTGCGAATAGGGTGTTGTAAGGGGTTAAAAGGGGGGGGGGGGGGTGAAAAGTTGTATGGGATTGGGAACTACGAAGCCAAACTTTTTGTATACAAAATCTTAATCACTGAACCTAGGAACATAATATTTAGAAGTTTTGGGTTTATCAAGTTAAAAAATGGTTTTTGAAGTTAAAGTTCCTTTTAACGAATACTCTGCATCGACGCCGCTGCCGTCGGTCGTCGGTCGTCGTCGCGCACATTCGCCGAAGTGTGGCGGCAGGCAACGGCGCTGTCGTGTGGTGGGGGAGCGCACGAATCTAACTATGCCTACCCGAACGGGCAGACACGTGAGGGCAGACGTCGTTGTCGGACGCAAGCAGTAAAATAATTTTATTGTTTCGTATAATTTTTTAAGTATTTTTTATTAGTTGGGTCCTGTAAATTAATTTTGTACATACTTAATATTTCGGGATCTTTTTGTTCATAGTTAATAGTAGGTAAGATAGTTTCCGTTACTTTAAAAAATCCGATTTGCTTTTATTTCCTTTTTTGAATTAATCTAATAAGTCGAAGTAGGTGTAAAACTAACCTAACCTACTTACCTCCTACTCTTTTTATAATGCATAAACAGAGTAGGAGGTAATTAGGTTAGGTTAGTTTTAGTTGTAAATAAGTATTGATAATTTAATATATTAGTTTCTTTTTTTCCATTTAAACGTGATTTAAACACATCGCCGTGCGGTGAGCGCATCATTTTTACTACGTAGCTGCTTATTAAAGGTTTTTTTTATGATAATAAATCTCAATTTGAACATCTGTTTTGTTCGATTCATTTTATTTTTGTTTTTCTACGATGACTCGCAAACGAAAGTCCAATTTAGCTAATAGCTCTAGCAGAGCTCGGGCTGCTAAACTTGCTAGATCACTGGAATCGGAAAAGGATTCACAGATCCGTCGGACTTTAGATGCCGAGCGTCACGCAACTCAAAGGGCTGCTGAAACTTTTGAGCAAACGCAGACCCGTCATAATTTAGACGCTGATCGTCATGCTGCACAAAGGGCTGCAGAGACCTCTCAGCAGGCCCAAGCTCGCCAAGTCTTGGATGCCGAGCGTCGCGCGGCTCAAAGAGCTGCTGAGGCCTCTCAGCAGACCCAAGCTCGCCAAATCTTAGATGCTGAGCGTCAAGCTTCGTACATAGCCGCAGAGACTTCCGAAGAAACACGTACATGACGTTTAATTAATTCTGAGCGGCAAGCAGAAAGGAGATGTACGTTTACGATGAATAGACCGAATGGATTTATAATGGATGGATTTAGACCGAAACGATCGACGGGTGATCTTCTAGCGTACTTAACTCATATCTGGGGTGAGGCTATCGACAAGCGTGCCGAGTCGTTGGCTATCAGCCTTGACATTGCCAAGGCGTTCGACAGGGTCTGGCACAAAAGCCTTCTCTCCAAGCTTCCGGCATACGGTCTGCCAGCCCAGTTCTGTTCTTGGGTAGCTGACTTCCTGCATGAGCGTAGAATTCGTGTCCTTACGGATGGTAGCAGTTCGCGGTTTATGTCAGTGAATGCCGGCGTTCCCCAGGGCTCCGTCCTATCCCTCACTCTCTTTCTGCTGCATATCAATGACCTGATTCCTCTTGGGAATATTCATTGCTATGCAGACGATAGTACAGTGCATGCGGGGTATCTCGGACAAGCAGCGGCTGGGCATGCAGTAACCAGGGAGAAACGGGAAAATCTTGTCATTGAACTCAATCAGGCTTTGGAACACATTTCCGAATGGGGTACCAGGAACTTGGTTGGGTTCAATGCCAAGAAAACTCAGGCTTGCGCTTTCACGGCAAAAACATCGCCATTCCTTCCCCTTCCATCTCTTCAGGGCACAACACTACCGCTGCAGAGCAACATTTCCATGCTCGGTATGGAAGTTCGCTCAGACCTGAATCCAAAGGACTACATCGAAACCGTGATCAAAACAGCTTCACGCAAACTCGGAGTCCTGAACAAGGTGCGGCGTTTTTTCACGCCCGATCAACTGTGCTTGTTGTACAAAACGCAAGTGCGGTCCTGCGTGGAATATTGCTCGCACCTCTGGGATGGCTCCGCCAAGTACTTGCTCGATGCTTTGGATAGGTTACAGCGGCGCGCGATCCGCAACATAGGCGATGAGGAGGTGACTAAACACCTTGAGCCTCTTCAATTACGCCGTGACGTGGCGTCACTAAGCGCGTTCTATCGTTTGTACCACGGCGAGTGTTCTGAGGAATTATTCTCTCTTATCACCACCTTCCCCTTTCCTTCAGAGGACCACGCGCTGGCCTACGTTGTCACCGTTTTACTGTGGCCACAATTCCAACGCGTACAAAGAAATTTGGTGACTCATTTCTTTGTCGCACTATCCGTAAATGGAATGCTCTGCCCGCTCACGTGTTCCCTCCCTCTTACAACCTGGGATCCTTTAAAAGAGGCGTGAAGAAGCAACATGCAGGCCGGCAGGGTGAGGATGGCTGGTGTGGCAGGCAGAACTGCTGTATCAACTATCTTCGCGTCTGGACTTCACCTTCACTTAACATCAGGTGGGGTGGAGTCATTTGTCGGACCTAACTAAAAAAAAAAAAAAAAAAAAAACGTGGGAGGCATTTGCCGATGCTGCTTTTGATTATGATCCGTTAATTGATTACTTTAATCATCGATTAGTCCTCATAGGTAGAATGGCCAATAAATGCAGACACTGTGAGGCACTCAAGTGGAAGATAGAGACCTCAGGTATGTGCTGTTCTAGAGGCATAGTATCAGTACCAACGCTTGGTGACCCCGACGAGCCACTCAAATCCTTACTTCTATATGACAGCAATGAATCTCGGCGATTT